ATTGTCCAGTAACTCTTGGACAGATAATATAACAGTTGTTCACTTAGATAATACATGTAAATTACAGTTTAAAAACATAAATTGTCCAGTAACTCTTGGACAGATAATATAACAGTTGTTCACTTAGATAATACATGTAAATTACAGTTTAAAAACATAAATTGTGCCAATGGATTTCTTAAGTAAGTTTGTAAAAATGTTTTAGTATTGTTTTTCAGGTTTAAAGTTGTTTCTGAAATTTAACCTTTCAAGACATTATAATCAATATCTGGGTGTATGAATATTGTGCCATACATATATTTTTTCCCCTTTGTTTTCTTACTATATTGAATTATTGTGATCAGGAATGTATATTTCAATCTCTATATCAAAGTTTGTATAATATAGTTACAATACTAAATAATTTTTTCAATACATATTCTGCCAATTTTGGAATAAATGCAGAGTTGATATTTTGTAGATTTTAGTGTTTACGAAGACTTGAGTTCTGTATATTAATTTCAACCACGATCTTCGTGTAGGAGTTGATGTAATCATCGGTGATGAAGAAGCATATCTGTCAGTAGAAGGACTTTCAATTCGTATGAGACCCCCTAAGGTATTAATGAAATAATAGATGTTAAAGTACATTTTAAAAACTTTTGTGTAGGCTATTAAGTGATAAACGTATACTTAACCAAAAGATACACCAAGTTATAGGAGATTGAACGTTTATATAAATAAATTTTATATTAATCCTTCCATTCGTATATATGTCATTGTCTCATGTTCTCCGAGGTTCTATAAACACAGAGGTCCAAAACTGAGTTACGTTTGTTCTTACTTTGATAACTTGTAGCGACTTCCGTTGAAACAAGTCATCAGTTAGTAATTTCTGATATTTCCAAAGAAATATTTATCTATTTCACTTTTTTGTTCTGAATTATAATTAAATTAACTTTGTAAAAGTTATTATTTACAATTGCTTTAAAGATACTGTTACAGATATTTAATTAAACAACAAAAGTGATAAGTTTCTTCAATATTTTAATTCTGTATAATTTATATCGAGTACATATAATCATTAAAATTTGTTTTTCAAGTTAGCAGATTTTTGTCATCAGAGAAAAGAGCAGAGTGGATCGACAGAACCAGAATTAGATGAAACAAAACTTCAAATGGACAAGTGTTTTATTCTCCCAAGGTATGCACTGTTTAATCTCTAGTATCAACATTTTATTAACCAACCTGATTGTAAGGTATGCACTGTTTAATCTCTAGTATCAACATTTTATTAACCAACCTGATTGTAAGGTATGCACTGTTTAATCTCTAGTATTAACATTTATTAACCAACCTGATTGTTAGTATACACTGTTTAATCTCTAGTATCAACATTTTATTAACCAACCTGATTGTAAGGTATACACTGTTTAATCTCTAGTATTAACATTTGTTAATTGAAGATAGAATTATTGAAAGTTGAAAAACTTTGTGATATATGGATTGTCATGATTGTTTGGCATTAAGTGTCAGAAATGTTAAAAGGCTATTTTTTAGAACATTTAATAAATTAAAAATAGTGAAAAGGAGTCACTGTGATTTTATTTGTCAGGAACTTACCTTGTTTTACTTTTTATATCAGAAACTCCCATCTAACGATTAAAAATATTTGGTTAAATATTGTTCAAACTTAGAAATGCATGAGTTTTAAAGTTACAAATTCTTTAACCTACTAAAAATAAATGTGAACCCCAATCCGTCATTCAACTAACTGCTTGTCACAGAGTATAATATTTTATGGGAGTTTCACCATCAGTAACCCTGGACAAGGTCAAAAAAGGTGAGTAAAAACACTATATGTATGATGCTCTAATGTTCGTGGTTCATCAATACATAATAGTAAATCTCTTTTGTAAGTTAACTCAAAAAAAGAATAGTTTAACATCAGTTAAAAGTTAGGTGTGGAAGTGTTAAACAGTTCATTTCGTTTGCATTCTTGTGTATTCTGTTTTTATTTCAAGTCTGTTTCTTTCATTAGCATGAAAAGAGGGCAGTTAGTTTCCATATCCAAAGATGTTCCCCATTACAGTCCTTTTCAGGGATACAGGGATATCAAAAAGTATTGGAAAAACATGGTAAGTTAATTCGGTGAATTGTGGACACAGTTGAAAAGTGAATGTTGATTATATAAGTAAATCAGAATTGTTAGTAGTAATCAAAGCAATGAGTTATTATTTTATACTTACTGGTTCACAGTTTGTACTCTAGATAATATTGTATTATTATTGTAAACATTTAAGTCACTCCATTATCCCCCTCCCCCAGTGGCTTAGCAGTAAGTCTTAGGGCTCACATTGATAAAAATTGGGTTTTGATACTTGTGGTGGACACGAACAAACAAACACTCCAGTCTTGACTGCATTCACGATAAATGAAATTGTTGTTTTATTTAAGATAATTTAATTTTTTTTTGTTACTTAGAACCGAAGATGTAACTAGAATGTAATGTATTGATGTTCCCGATGATCTAGGTAAAACTGTTCAAACTTTTAGGAAGTTTCAGAGAAATCTAACAGAATATAGGTGTCCGTGTGTCACCTATACTATTTTTTTTACTTAGAACCGAAGATGTAACTGGTGAAACTTCCTAAAAGTTTGAACAGTTTTACCTAGATCATCGGGAACATCAATACATTACATTGAGAAAGCTAACAGAATATAGGTGTCCGTGTGTCACCTATACTATTTTTTGATTTTAGGAAATTTTCTTACAGACGACATTACAAACCAATAATTTTATGTCTACAAAGTTTCGTTTTTAGGATGGTGGCATTTTGAACAGATCTAGAACAACCAAAGATTGTTTATTTATAAATAAGTTACATCTGTATAACATTGTATTATTATTATTATATATGAAAAATATGCAACAAGACTTGGAAATCAAATGATAATAATAGTACACAGAACATTTTAATTAGGACAAATATGTCAGAATATGTCTTATCACGTGTTGTGTTCAAGGCACAAGCTAAGATTGTATTGTCTAGGTTTTATACTAATTAACTACATTATAAGTAATACACATGTTTGTCATATGTTGAACCAATAATAGTCCCTAACATTAGGAATTAGTTAACAAATAAAACAGATTGTGTAAATTCACAAAGAAAGTATGTATTTATTTTATCAAATTGTTTTTAGTGAGAGCTGAATATGTTTGTAAAGAACATTATCTGCCTTTGCAGTATGGCTACAGACTTCCCGAAGAACAAAATGGATTATTCTATGTGAATGTCGAGTTCTGGGGACTATTGCAGGGAAGATTTACGTATCCTTTCGTAGACTGACATCGTATGAACTTCTAACTTTGATTGCTTTACTTAACACAATGCTATAACACAATATTTTGTTCCATATACTTATTTCCAATTCTTTATCTATCCCTAAAGTGGTTCATGTTGAACTGATACGTAACGTATACTGTCAGTTACAGGTGCATGTTGTGTACGTAACGGGTCTAATTTTATTACTATACTAGCTGGATACCAGATGATATGATCGGAAATGGTTATTTATTTTGTCTTGAAAAATCTGTTCTAAATAATTTTTATGTTGATATATTTTCTAAAAATTAATTAAATTACATTATAATAAGAATATATAGAAACCAATTGTTTATTTTTTTCTAGTATTTTAAGTAAAATAACTATTTTTGTTTTGTATATTTTGATGTTATGTTCAAATCTGCTTCTTGATAAAGCCACATAGAGTTGACCATGTGCAAAAATTGGTTTTGGAAGAAACATACCTACATGGTCAAATGTCTGATTCTCTGATTTATTAACTGTGATGTCAACGGTAAGTATTTTGAGTTAAAGGCAAGTCCATCAAGGTATAACACTTCATAAAGAAGGCTTATAATATTTTGTTTATTAAATTTGTAAAAAAATTACCAAAGGTGAAAAAACATCAAGAATATAGTATTGTGGCGCCATCTGTTGTTTTTCACTCAAACAGATATGGGTGTTTACATGTATGGATTATTACAAACAATTCCACTCTTAACTCAAACTTAAAACCCGTATCTGTGGTGTGTGTGTGTGTATGTATAAGGGTCAGTGACCCACCCAAAAAAACAAGAATGAACCTTTTGTTTGATAATGGCGTAAATAAATAATACATGTTGTAGATTTAATTGTAAAAAGTTAATCAAATCAGTTTTTCATAATAGCTAATTGTATTACATAATTAGCTAACTAATTAGATTTAAACGTTTGATCTTGCACATTCTGTAATCTTTTATTCCTCATCGTAAGTTGTAGCAGTGTGGAATCTTAACTTGGGTGTAGTTATCCCAGTCTGTGTATTCGTCTGCATGATATGCTCCACATTCCAAGAGTGGATCCTCAGCCTATTATTTCTATGTTTCTAAATGATCTTCAGTGTAAGGTTCGGCAGATCTGCGGAGAACCATTCATTCTTACAAATACGACCGCAGTGTTTCCACAATTAGCATTACAGCCATCGTCCAATATAATGGTTTGTTGATTATCAGATAACTAATTATAAACTACACTTGTACTATTTATTATATCTTCGTAAAGGTTCTGCTAAGGGACAGTATAAGAAACTATTGGTTTTAAACGTTTGTGTAAACGGATAAATTATCGATAAAACACTAATTTCATTATGGGTTACCATGGTGAACATATACAATACCATGTATGTTAGCTAACTTAACCATAACAAGTTCCATGACAATCATATAAAACATGTTTACATTGGTGAAACAGGAGAAAATTTAAAAACAAGAATAGCAGAAACTGAAATGCAAGAAACTTTGACCATCCCATGAACTGGAAATCAGTCAAAAAGGAAAGAAAGAACTGTTGAAAGACGTATTATTATTAAAAGTCTTTTTACTAATATTTATTAGTTTATTTTTTGTTGTGTTTAATGAATGTGAAGTTGGTATGAAACTGAGTTTTTAATATATATATATAATACTGTCCAGAGCAACGACATTCTGAGACTACTTTTTTCTGTACTTCAAAAGTTATAGATAGATCATTTTCTTTAATACAACTTCCATATTTGAATGTGGCTCTTCCTCTAGGAGACTGGTAACAAGCCGTCACTTGTCTCTTATCAAACACCAGGACTTCCGGTGCCTCTTCGCAGGACTCATCCGATCCATTTAAAAGAGATTACAAAATCAAGTGCACTTTTGCAATCTAATGAATTTTTTGATGAAGTCAATGGTAAGCCAGTGTCAAATCAGCTTATCAAACCAATATTTAAACCACGTAGGTCTGTAGTTAAAAAACTTCATAACTTTTCCCCAACTCGTACTTCAACTGGTAATCCCACAAAGGCTTTCAAACCACGGAACAATATTTCATGTAACGATGACAACAGAAACTCGACCGAGACGAAAATGGATACATTAAACAAAACTTCTATTGTGTATCCTAATTTTTGTGTCTCTTCAGCTCGATGTGTCTCACAGAAAATCACTCCAAAACCTCAAGTGACTATTCCGACCAGTCAGTCAAAAATGGATTCTATTATTGAGCGTGACATGAAGAAAATTTTCAACAAAAAGTCGAGTTCACCAAGTCTGTCAAAAGTGGTAATTTATATTTTGATTCCATTATTACTTCACTTTTTGTGTTTGAAATACAATATCTAAACTACTTACACATTGTTATAACCTCTGTAAACCAGTAACTTATTATAATATGTATATATCTAAACTAGTTACACATTGTTATAACCTCTGTAAACCAATAACTTATTATAATATGTATATATCTAAACTAGTTACACATTGTTATAACTTCTGTAAACCAGTAACTCATTCTTATAATTGAGTTGTATACATTCATGTAGAATTAAATTTAATCTGTTTCACCTTTATGTATTGAATATTAGACTGAACTTATTCATAGAGTTATAAGAACAACAGTTATGTTTTACTGCTACTGCTACAGTTGACTGCCTTGTTCATTTATTTATTTTCGTCATCAAAATGTGAACTTTAACGAAGAAAATATGATATAGAGGGCCACCTTTGATTAGCTACTCCTACTGCAGGAGGAAGAAATGTAGGAGTAAATACATCATAGTTTCTTCACTGAAGTTTGTGTTTTGGTGAAAAAAATAATTTAACAAATAAATAGGTTACCAGCTAGTCTGCTGTATAATAATATTTGATGATATATTACATGTTATCCAAGCACATAAAGTATTTTAGGTTGTTAGTGGTGAGTGAAGGACTATATATATCTAAACAAAACATCTGTTGAGTTTGGTAAAACAAGTTACAAGAGTTGTAAAATGATTTAATCTTACGTACAAACGTGCTAATAGTAGTGATGAAAATTAAAATATTTCTTGTTCGGATAACAAACAATTAACATATGTCTGTTGTTTTTATTATCAGATAACAAACAATTAATATATGTCTGTTGTTTTTATTATCAGATAACAAACTATTAACATATGTCTGTTGTTTTTATTATCAGATAACAAACAATTAACATATGTCTGTTGTTTTTATTATCAGATAACAAACAATTAACATATGTCTGTTGTTTTTATGATCAGATAACAAACAATTAACATATGTCTGTTGTTTTTATTATCAGATAACAAACAATTAACATATGTCTGTTGTTTTTATTATCAGATAACAAACAATTAACATATGTCTGTTGTTTTATTATCAGATAACAAACAATTAACATATATCTGTTGTTTTTTATTATCAGATAACAAACAATTAACATATGTCTGTTGTTTTTTATTATCAGATAACAAACAATTAACATATGTCTGTTGTTTTTATTATCAGATAACAAACAATTAACACATGTCTGTTGTTTTTTATTATCAGATAACAAACAATTAACATATGTCTGTTGTTTTT